CAAATAAATAAATAATAAAAAATGCTTTATACGTTATTTCTTTTTTTAAAGTTGTGGTAAATATCTCACTGCCGTTGAGTCGTTTCCGACTCATAGCAACCACTCCTTGGGTCTCCAAAGCGGTATCTCTACGGAAGTAGATTGCCCAATCTTCCTTCTGGAAGGAAGTGGATCGTGGATTTGAACTGCCAGCCTTCTGGTTAGCAGTCAAGGCTTTAGGTATGATGTCACCAGAGTATAAATATATATGGAACAAATCATTTGCCTTTCCAACATTCTTCACATGTAAAGACATTTAAAAGAGGAAAGGTGAGATGAATTGTATTGATTGTGAATACAGATGAAGACCAAAAAGAATTTTTTTTCCTTTGTTTCTTTGGAATGCTGCCAAATTTTTACTTTCAAGCCATGAAGTGATAAACTCAAAATGTAAATTGATGACAGTTAGAGAACATGGCTAATAAGACAGTCCTTCCTAACAACCATTTAAAAATGTTAGTTTGATACTGTTCTATAAAATGTATTTCTTCTTGTAGTTGAAACTAAAAATCTGGCTTTATATTTCTGTTCTTTTTTCTTTCTTCTGTGCCATCCCTGACAGGCAAACATTTAAGACTTTCTTTTTCTGTTTTTGTCTAGGCCTCTTATGTAAGGACCTAAAAGGGAAATAAAATATACAGGATGAAAAGATGGCAATGTTGCCTCCCCCAGGACCACAGAGCTTTGTCCACTTCACAAAACAGTCTCTTACCCTCATTGAACAACGCATTGCTGAAGGAAAAGCAAAGGATCCCAAAGAAGAAAAGAAGGATGATGAGGAAGATAGCCCAAAGCCAAGCAGTGACTTGGAAGCTGGCAAACCACTGCCCTTCATCTATGGAGACATTCCTCCAGGCATGGTGTCGGAGCCGCTGGAGGACCTGGACCCATACTATGCAGACAAGAAAGTGAGTTTAGTGTGACTTCAGTGGTGGGTTTCTAATTGTTACTTTCTACACAGAATGATATTTTAAACTGAGATTAAGAGGAATTTGCTGAGTGACCACATCAGGGTGATAATATTAAATTAAATTAATATGTAGGATATTCAGAATATATACTTTGAATTTTTCACCAAATTGGTTCTGACAGCAACATACTACTTTTGTGTTCTTTAATCTTTTAAGAGTGTTAAATATAATGTTTTTCCTTTTTAGGCATGACATAAAAATATATTGGTAGAAGCAAAATAATCATCAATTTGAAAAGTCAGAAATGGGGACATGTCTAGAATGAATTTGATGGAGGTAACATAACAGCTGACCTCATGAGAACATATAAAACTGCTCAACTAACAGAGTTTGGAGAGGCACCTCATTCAAGCTGCTAGAGAGAAAGATCAGTTTGAGATACTCAGGGAAAACAAACATAAATAAAAAAATTATCCATTGTTCGAAAAAGAAGGGATGAGATTATCTCATAAAATTACCCAGAAAGTTAAGGATAAAGATAAGCTACTGATTGAAAAGAGAGTATGATGCTGGTAACTTTTTGCAAGCAGTTTGTTCTAGGTGGTGAAAATCAAAGCAAGATAGTGGTGGATACCAAAAAGAAGACAAGTACTGTAGTACTGTATTTTCATACAAATAACACGTGTTGTATGGTATTTTGTGAACCCACAACTCTCTCCTACGTTAGTTTCCTGTGCATGCAGTGTGCATTATACATGTGTGCACATTATTTACATGGGCACATTATTTGTGAAAATAATGGTAAATGGGTGATAATATACGCTGAGAAATTTTCCACCACAAATGATCACTTGCGGCGCTAAATAAATTTAAAACCCATTTTAAAAACGATATACGGTAAAGTATAGAAAAATTTCCACAATCAGAGAATGAAAAAAATATTGAGGATCAGATAATGCTGTAAACTAGTTGCTGGAGTTAACAGACATGGTACAAGGTACTCATCAGTTTGCATTTATTTGCATAGGAAAGAAGAGAAAAGCCTTGTTGTCTGAGACTTGAGGGATAAATAGCAGGATGGATTATGCTGAAGTAAATGTAGGCACATCGCAAGAAATGCATGTTAAGTTGTCTCACTCTTTTCTATAATATAGGAGTTGAAATTGCCTTTTGAGTGTCCATACTGAGAGTTGCAGGAGTGGAGAAGACCTTGATTGCTTTAGAGACATGGGACACGGTTTCAAATAGATGCTACAAAGTTTTTCTTCTGAGAAAGTAAGAAGGAGATTACAATAATTTCTGAGTATCAGACAGAACTAGGTTGAAGCTGACAAGCAGGAGATTGGTAATGGTTAAATCAGCAAGTTTCATATCGTCATCCAACGCTGCTGCGCTGTACAGCACCTGCAGACCTATCACTGAGAGGTTAGGAAGGGTGGGGGTGGGGTCCAATATTTTAAATTTAGTTTGATTTGTTAAAGATGTACACAAAAGTGAGTATTTCTCAATAAAATAGCTAACAAATAAAATAAAGAGCATATTTGTAATGCCTTAAGAAATAACAAAGTGGGACAATACTCATTTCTATAATGGAAATACATGTGTATAGTCAGTAGTAGTTGCTCTGAATAGCAATATCAAATATATTACTTAAGATTAAGACTAGCATGCCAGTCAGCTGACAGTACAGCAACAGAATGGAAAGCTCTTGAGATACTATAATGTATTCTAATTAACCAGTCGTTATTCTGACACAGAAAGGAGTATTGCTGACATTTATTGAGGGTCTCTGTGTCAGGCCCTAGAGGTTTTTTTACAATTAGCACACGTATTTTTCACAACTTGGTGAAATAGGAATTATTACCATATTTTAAGATATGGCACAAAAGCTTTTGGAAAATTAAATAACCTGTAAAATCTTACAGCTAGTAAATTTTGTTGAAGATACTTGAAGTTAAGTTGGTTGAACTCCCTACTGAGGTATTCTGTTATGTAACAACACCTCCTAAAGTCGTTTTTTTATTACTTTTTTTAAAATGATGTGGTAGTCACTGTTTTATGAACTTTACAAACATGAATGAATTAATGAATGAATAAATAGTGAAACAGGCAAAGCAAAAAGCACCCTCTCCTCTACTTAATATTACAGCCTGACAATTCCTAGCCTCTACGGATATTCTTTTCCCAAAAAGGGTCTGCATATTTCTGAACCAGCTACTTCTTAGGAATGAAAGATATCTTTCTGAAATAATCCCAAGATCAGAGATAAAAACTAATATTAACTTAATCTTTATGGAAGTAGATTGCCTCATCTTCCTCCAGTGGAGCAGCTGGTGGGTTTGAACCACCAGCCTTGGGATTAGCAGCCAACTGCCTTACTCACTACTCCACCAGAGCTCTAAAATGACTTGGCAGGTAGGAAAAAAATATTTTCATTTTGATGGAAAATAAATATAAACAAACAAATAAATAAAGGAATGTTTAATGATATAATTTTAGCTATAAAATTTAACTAATGTACCACCCACATCAGTATATTTGGGTAGGAATAGGTCAAACAGAATACTCTGTTTTTCAGTGTTCTCAGTTTTTAACATGTATCTTAGTTCTCTAGTGCTGCTATAACAGAAATACCACAAGTGGATGGCTTTAACACACAGGAATTTATTCTTTTACAGTGTAGGAAGCTAGAAGTCCAAATTCAGAGTGCTGGCTCTAGGTGCTGGGTGAAGGGCCTTCAACATTGGGCTTCAGCTCTGCCTCTTGTTCCAGGCCCACTGGAGGTGGAGGCATCTCCTAACTCAGGCAGCTCCTGGCTGCTGACAGACTGATGAACCTAAGGTTACCAGGTAAAATGACACAATCCCTAGATTAGCAGACAACACAGCAAGCCACTGATTCAAGTCCAGGAACTGGCAATGAAGACTTGTTCAAATGCAGGATCCAAAATATGCCAAAAAGCTAGAGACCTTTCTCAGAGCTTCTCTATATATACTGGAAGCTGTCCACACCCCAGAGGCAACTCAACCATGGAGCTGATTACACTACATTCAATCTCATCATGGGGAATTACCACATCCAGCTGCCAAGCCACTCAAAATCACAGCCCAGACAAGTTGACACACAACCTTAATTACCTCAATATGTGATTGTCATTTTCTTTTGGATTGAAGCTTTAGATTATTAATTTCTCTTCATTTCTCTATGTCTTCAAACATTCTTGATAAAAGCAGTTATGACTTCTGCTTGCAGCTTTAGGGTTGACTTCTATATAGATTGATTCTTTGAGGTGTCAGGTTATTCAGACTAATTGAAAAAAAAACTTTATTTCAGTTATATTTATAATCATTATTGGATTAAAATTCTACGACCTCTAATTTGACCTCGGTTCAGTTTTTATTTATTTTTCCTTGTAATTTCTAATTCTTTATTAAAGAGGATTTAGTAAAGTCATGATAGATAATATGGCTTTGTTTTTATGCATAATGAATATATAAAAACTTTTAAAAATGGTGTTATTCAGCACCTTTATAAGTGAAAGTTTATATCTTTAAGAAATTAATAAATTACCAATCACCTTCTACTGTGGGTATTTAGAGAATGGGTTTACTGTTTTATTATTCTTCATCACCTTAGTAACTTATAGTTTGTCTATAATATCAGCTAGTTGATCCCACTATTTACTAAGAATTCACAATGTACCAGAAACTTAAAAGCTCCATAGACAGTAAGTGCTAGCTTAAAACTACGAGGTAGTGGAGCTGAAGTTCAGAATCAACTCTGTCCAGCCACAGCCTATGCTATTTAAGCATCATTATTTTTCTTTTTAACTCTATGCTGAATAAATTCTTAAGTAAATGAATAAAATGAAGAGAATTCATTTGGACTTTGAAATAGAACCATTTGGTATTAGGACCTCCACATTTACTAGACTCATACACAGATATCAAAAATTCTGCAGGCATACCCCTTTTCCCTAATTATAATTAATTGTGTATGTATCAGAAATTTCTAAAAAAAAGTTTTAATGGAAATTAAAACTGCTACTTTAAATTTTTTAAAATAGCAAACCAAGTTTTAAAGTAATGTATTTAAAGTACATTAAAACTTGAAAAAACTTAAAAATCAAGTGCAAGAAAACTTGATCTTGCCAAGCTAAGTAGTAAGGTTGTGATTTTCATGTTAGCTCTGATGACATTTAGTTCAGAAAGTCTCTCTGAAAATCTTGACTGGGATATGACCCTGTTCCTCTTTTCACTCTTATACTCCTCTATTTATATTTCTTTGTAACACCTGTCAAATCCTGCCTTATAGTAAAATTATTGTATTCCTGTCTTAACACTTTTCTAGTACATTCCTCAAATGTAAAACTCACACCTTATTTATGTTTGTGTTAGGCTGGGTTCTGGGGAGAAGCAAAACCAGTAAAGCTTATAGAGAGAAAGAGAAAGAAATTTATCTTAGGAAAATGGGTCACACACTTATAGAAGCTGGAAAGTCCCCCGTTCTTGGATCAAACATCAAGCTTGAGGCTTTTCCCAACTCACGCAGCTGCAGGGGCTGACAAGCTCAAGGTTGGCAGGCAGTATGCCAGCTATTGACTCCAATGAATGACGACGAATCCAAGATCTCCAAACCGAATGGTGGATTGTTCGCTCACAGACAGCTGTAAGCAGCACAACAGGATCTCAATCCACAGAAGAGTGTCTCTTTTCCCAGGATGTCCATAAATATACTGGAAGCAGGCCACATCCCTAGGGAAACTCCCTTTCAATGGATTGGCTGCTCACAACATAAACATCCAATCCCATCATGGGAACAACCACATCACAATTGCTTAAACCACACAGAATTGTGGTCCAGCCAAGTTGACACACAGCTCCAACTATCACAATGTTTATGCCTGGTATTGGTACAATGACAGACACATAGAACAATGGAATAGAATTGAGAACCAGAAATAGATCCATTGACTCATAGTCAGCTGATCTTTGACAAAGGGCCAAAATCCATTAAGTGGGGAAGAGATTGTCTGTTCAATAAAGGGTGCTGGCAAAACTGAATATCCATTTGCAGAAAAATGAAACAAGACCCATACCACACCACATACCCAAAAATTAACTCCAGATGGATCAAAAACTTTAATGTGAAATCTAAAACTATAATGTTCCTCAAGGAAAAACTAGGGGCAAATTTAGGGGCCCTAATATATGGCATAAATAGACTATCAAGCATAACCCAAAGTGCACAAACAGCAGAAGAGAAACTAGATGAATGGGACCATCTAAAAATTAAATTTTTATGTGCTTCCAAAGACTTCTCCAAAAGAATCAAAAGATAACCTACAGATTGGGAAAAAATATTTGGCAATGACATATATGATGAGGGACTTACTTCTAGAAGTTATAGAAAACTCCAACACCTCAATAACAAAAACACAAACAATCCAGTTAAAAAATGGCAGAAGACATGAAGAGACACATCACCAAGGAGGATATTCAAGCGGCCAACAAACATATGAAGAAATACTCAAGATCACTAGTCATTAGAGAGATGCAAATCAAAACAACAATGAAGTACCATCTTTCCCCAGCTCTAGTAGCAAAGTTCAACAAGACAGAAAATAACAAATGCTGGCGAGGATGCAGAGAGATTGGGACACTCATACACTGCTAGTGGGGCTGTAAAATGGTACAACCACTGTGGAAAGCAGTGTGGTGAGTCCTTCAAAAATTGGAATTAGAAATACCATTTGACCCAGCCATTCCATTACTAGGTAAATATCCTAAAGAAGGGAGAGCCATGACAAGAACAGACATATGCACACCCATGTTCATCACAGCACTATTTACAATAGCCAAAAGATGGAAACAACCTAGGTGTCCATCAGCTGAGGAATAGATAACCCTCTAGGTAGCTGGCTATGGCCAAGAAGTGACTACAGTCTTGTCCCTTGTCAGCTCTACTATATAGCTGGGAATTCTTACAGAACATACGAATACACTTGTAGAAACATCTGCCAACCCTATACATGGTCGTGGGAACACTTCCCCCTGCATAGACATACCTATTTGTTCAGCCTGTGCACCCATCTATGTACCCATAGATCAATGTTTGCCTTCACTGACAACGCAGTACTGTATGTGCAAAAGGGTTCATATTTGTTTTCTGTACCTCCTATGCACCTCTCTATGTCTTCTCCTTCCTCAATGCCACTGTGTTGATCACTCACATTTGGTACACTGCCCTTATCTTCATCCAACTCAATACTTATCTCTACCTATCTAACAGTGCCCCCTCCCACCCTTGGTAACCAATAAAGAAAATTTCCTTCCATATACAAATCTTTCCTTGACTAATACAATATTTGTCCTTCTGTGATTGACTTATTACACTCAGCGTAATATCCTCCAAGTTCATCCACATTATGTGGTGTTTTGCAGATTCTATGTTATTCTTTAGGGTTGCACAGTATTCCATTGTGTGTATGTACCATAGTTTGGTTACCCATTCTTCTGTTGATGGGCATCTAGGTTGTTTCCATCTATTGGCTATTGGAAACAGTGCTGCGATGAACATGGGTGTGCATATATCTGTTCTTGTCCTGGCTCTCATTTCTTTAGGATATATACCTGGTAATGGCATGCTGGGTCAAATGGTATTTGTAATTCCAACTTTTTAAGGACCATAGTCACAAGGGACATCAAGCTCAACTGGCATAACATACTACACAAAAACGTTGTTCACATCCTACTTTGGTGATTAGTGACTGAGATCTTAGAAGCTTGCAAGTGGCTATCTAGATGCAACAATGGGTCTCTCCTCATCCAGAGCAAAGAAGAATGAAGAAAACCAAAGACACATGGAAACACAATTAGTCCAAGCAACTGGTACAACATGCAGTCCTCAGCCTATACAACTATGAGACCAGAAGAACTAGATGGTGCCCGGCTACCACTAACTACTTGGGGGATCTATGTAGGAGATCCTGGATAGAGTGGGAAAACAATTTGGAACAAAACTCAAAATCATTAAAAAAAAATTAAATTAAAAGGTGGACCAGGTTTGCGGGTCTGACAGAGCCTGGTGGAACCACTGAGACTGTGTCCCCTAGCTGCTCTTCAGGTCTGGAATTGAACCCACACCTGTGGTTTCCAACCAAACAAAAGACAGCCATATGAGCTGAACATTTACATTAGGTAGAGACACTCCTTGGGGGGAACAATGGTGGGAGAATAAAAGGGTTGTGTATGCACCAGGAGACAGCTCAGGAGTCAGGTGTACATGGAGGGAAGGACACAGGGAAGAGGTCATTATGGGGAAGAAGTGGGAGGGGAGCTGTTGTGTTGTAAATTGCAGTCAATTTATGAGACAAAGTGTATGTGAACTGCTGTATGGAAAGGATTTTGCTCTGTAAACTTTCAAGCAAATCACAATTTAAAAAAAAAACCTCATACCTTATTTATTTTTAAACTTTCTTTAGTGTCTGATGACATAGCTGATTTCTTCATAATTGTAGAAAGAGATTTTTATTATCATTATTATTATTTGTTTGTATTTTCAATTTTCCTTAGCTAGATACAAATGCCATGGAGATTGCCACACAGCAATGATTACAGTAGCATATTTTAATAATATTTGGTTCTGTTAATAATATTTCATAATTATCAAATTAATTAAATTTTAAAAATAACTAAATTGTTTCTAAAGAAGTAATCAAGTGCCTTAATTTGTTTTTGTTTTTGTTTTTCCAGTTTTAGCTATTACTAGTATGATATCTAAACAGGAAAATTTAACTGGCTGATTATAAGGGTTCTTATAGATCTGATATTCCCTAAACTTATGAAAATAGATTTCTAAAGAACTCATATTTTGGAACATCTGCTACTAACCATGACAACGGCCAGCAAGTACTGAAATGATCAAGGTTTATGGTGAAAATCCTAATTAGTTTTAATTGGTTTGCTAAAAATTCAGAGAAATGGAAGAGAAGGAAGTTGTATTTTAAACTAATATCAATGACCTTAAGTTATTCCTGCTGATTTTGAGATTTGAAGGAAAACGAAAAATAGAAACCAGTTATTTTGGGAGTTCTAAGCAATACAAGTTCATAAACAACTCAATTCATAATTTACTGTAAAGAAATGTATTTGGAGTTCATTGGCCAAGGTCATGAGATAGCTGTATCAATGACCTTGGAACCAAGTCGCTTGAATCTTATGACTGTTTCTTTAATATGGTACTACCACATAGGAGGAAAATGGCTGATAATGATATGATAAATTGCAATTTTGAATTCTCAGTTTTCACTGTTGTCTTTTTCCTCCTGCAGACTTTCATAGTATTGAACAAAGGAAAAGTAATCTTCCGTTTCAATGCCACACCTGCTTTGTACATTTTATCTCCTTTCAGTCCTCTAAGAAGAATATCCATTAAGATTTTAGTACACTCATATCCTTTTTAAAATGCTTACTTGCAGTGATACTTTAACATGTAAATTTTTATGATTTTATGATTCTAGTCCTTTTGCACCTGGAAAAACTCTGTCTGGTTTTAGTTTATTAATTTCAATATAATTAGGTTCCAGCCTCTGAGAAGTTTGGGAAAATAACAGCATTAGCATTTTAGGATGCATTATCTTTATCTATCACTCCGTTGTTCACAGAGACAAATTAAACATTGCCTATAAGCTCATTTAGAGTTATTTTCTAAGCAAAATGTTAGCATTTAAACAATTGTCATTATCAAATATTCAAAGTTCCTACTGTGGTCCCTTATCATATTCCTTGATTCTAAGCCACCTTATTCAACATGCTTATCATGTGCACTATTCTGACAAACTGCATATTTATGACCATGAGTAACCCTCCTGATTGGACCAAGAATGTCGAGTAAGTGGGTAAAAGTACATGTTAATACAGTTTTAGTGTTATCATTGGCATGCTTTTCATATCCTGCCAGGAAGGTATTATAAGTTATAAAAATTGTGTTATTTATCTTAACATGTTCCATAGTTACTTCTCTTTCAGTTCTTTTTTTTTTTTTTTTTTTTTAACTCCTCTGTGGTCTTAACCCACTCAAACTAAGCTTGAAAATTAGATAGTACAGTCTTTTCTGGAGGAATGAATTTAACAGACACCCTTCCCTGTTCTAAGAGATATCAAATTCTCTTATTGTTGAGTGTAGTTTTGATAGGAGCAGTATAGGAATTTTCTGGGAGATCTAAGACCTATGTCCTTAGTTATTTCAAATATATCCACTCACTGGGATTGATTTTAAGGAGCTCTGGTGGGGCAGTGCTTAAGACATTTGACTATTAACCAGAAGGTTGGCAGTTCAAACCCACCAACCACTCCATGGAAGATTTACTGCCTCGAAACCCAATGGGGGTTGCTATGAGTCAGAACTGACTCGATGGCAGAGGGTTTGGTTTTTAGGGGAGTGATTTTGCTAAGGGAATTTTAAGAATTTCTAGGAAGACCTTTATGTAGTTTATCCTAATAGTTAAAGACTGGGTCTATGTGCTTGCTAGCATGCATGCTCTAAGAAGGCTGGGCTTTCTTAGGTTAATCAGACAAAATTAAATCATAAAGATTCAGATGACTCTGGGGTATTAGGCTCTTTCACACCAAATACTCTATTGATTCCTGTGTCTAGGTACACTTTTACTGGAATATATACTTTTGAATCACTTATAAAAATCCTTGCAAGAGGCTTCTGTGTGGGAGAATTCACCTTCCTTCGTGACCCATGGAACTGGCTCGATTTTATCGTCATTGTTTTTGCGTAAGTACTTCCAGTTTTTTGAAATTTATTTATTTTCTGGCATCGAAAATCTCAGACAGCACAGTATTCCAGTAAGAAGAAGCCCTAGAGATCCTGACCTTTCCCGCATGTAATGTTTGCATTTAAAAGATATTGTGTGAGAATTAGTCATTGATAGACAAATATCAAATTTCTCAGAAAGGGGATTTCCTCCTCTACAGTTTATCACACGATTAAAATTGATCATCTTCCTCTACACCCAGAACTTGGATGGATAGTCTGTGAGGTGCCTATTAGGTTCATACTTTCTCCGAGTTCTTATCTAAATAAATAAACAGATATTACCCAGCTCAGAAATTTAAGTTTAGTGCTCTTTTTAGTAACCTATACTACTCCAGAGCTAATAAGTGTATTAAAATCGAAAAGTAATTCTTTTTACAAGCTTTTCTCACAGCTTACTCAACATAACATTAATGTGTTGTCTATGCATTACAGATGCCTGACTGGTGAAAATACAGTTTATTTTCAATGGAAAGATACTACATTGAAATACAATTTTAGCTTATTCATGTTGCTACTCTTTCCCCAAATGTAATTGTATGAAACATGTCTCTTTTTTTAAAAAAATCTCAAATCTAGATATACTTTTTCTTTTTATCATTTTGAATTGTAAAAGTAATGGGTATTTACTGGAGCAATTTAGACAATAGAAAGGAGTCTTAACTAAAATCTGTCACACCTGGTTATGTTAGCCTTGCCCCACCTCCCGGTCCATCACTGTCACTCCTTTCATGATCACATGTGATTGCTGCAGTTCCACCTGCCACCTCCTGATAAGACAACATTGTGCCAAAGAAGGCAGCCTCTTCTCATGCATCTCCTTTTTTTTAATTGAGATATAATTAACATACTATAAAATTTCCTCCTTTTAAAGTGTAAAATTTAGGGACTTTCATGTATTCACAGAGTTGTGCCACTATTTGTTGTCAGGTACCATCGAGTGGGTTCTGACAGAAACCTTAGGTACAACAGTACCAAAGCCCGGTCCTACACCATCCTCACAGTCATTGCTGTGTTTGAGCCCATTGTTGAAGCTCCTGTGTCAATCCATTTGGTTGAGAGTCTTCCTCTCCTTCACTGACCCTCCAGTTTACTGAGCATGATATCCTATTACTGCCACTATTACCGCTTTCTAATTTCAGAATATTTTCATCACCTCAAAAGAAACTTTGTACCTATTGGCAGATACTTGAATTCCCTTCACCTCCTAGTCCCTGGAAACTACCTATATGCTTTCTGTAGCTGTGACTTTGCCCCGTCTAAACATTTATGCTTTGGTGGCATAGTGCCTAAGGCATTTAACTGCTAACCAGAAGGCTGGTGGTTCAAACCCACATAAATGAAATCATACAATATGTGGCCTTAAGGGTCTGGCTTCTTTACCTGAGCATGCTTTCAAGGTTTATAGCTGATGCTTTATAGGAAATTAAATATCTACATTAATATAATGTTAAGGGCCTAATTAGTATTTAATTCTTTATTTAGGAGTTTTGGTGTGTGAACTTTAATAATATAATATTTGTGTTTTGTTTTTACCAAACGAGTGGAACTAAACTAAATTAGTGATAAGAAAAAATACTTACATAACTATATATTTAGCAAAGGAGTTCCAGATATAAAAAATACATTGACTGAAGGCACAGGTAAGTATCTCAGACTCTATCTAAATTCTGAATAACTCTGATTTAATTCTACAGGTATTTAACAGAATTTGTAAACCTAGGCAATGTTTCAGCTCTTCGAACTTTCAGAGTATTGAGAGCTTTGAAAACTATTTCTGTAATTCCAGGTAAGAAGTAATTAGTGTGAAGCATTAGGCCACTCCTAACTCCAACTATTTGGGAGTTTTTTTCTGTTTGTGTGTGTGTGTGTGTTGTCATTGTGTTTGTATATAAACTTATTACAGATATGTGACAGAGTTTGTGGACCTGGGCAATGTCTCAGCGTTGAGAACATTCAGAGTTCTCCGAGCATTGAAAACAATTTCAGTCATTCCAGGTGAGAGTGGGGTTAAACACCGAGGCTGACTTTGATCTTTTGGAAGAAAGAGAAGAAAAACTTTCTCTTACGCAATTTTAATTATATTTAATTTCTGATGGTTTTCAAAATGGTTATTAAAAGTCACCCTGGATGTTTAATCAGTTGCATGGGTCTTGGAAGATGAACATGGCCACTTGGCTCACATCTCAATTTGAAATTTTCCCTGCTGTGTAAGAGTTCACTGTTCATTTTACTTACCCAGGATAGAAAATTTCAATTTGGTTTAATTGCTGTTAATATAGTCAAGAAAAGAGAAAATAAATAACAGCATGGGGTTATTGCATGACATATTGTTATAATTCTTTTCAGTACTTTTTTTTTTAATATATATATATACTTCTTTTTAGCAAACTGTTTCTTAATAGAAAATTAGCTCACTGTTAAGTTATCATTATATGCTACAATTTAGCCTCTTACTTGTTTTGGTGCCATGATAGAGAGATGGTTGTTTTGACGAGCATTTTCTGAATTAGAACTTTAAAGATTATTTTCACAATTGAGTGTGAATATGGCTTGAGCAACCAAGTTATTTATTTTGAAAAGTTGAGTACAGGTAGTCTCTGACTTACAGTGTATTTGAAGTATGACTAACTGCACTTATGACTATTGTCATGACTATATGTTTTTGTTTTTTGCTTGTACATCTTGTTGTTAGTAATATGTGCTAAATACAATTTTATAGCACATAATTTGCTGATGTCATTTTATCTGTAAGTTGATATGTAATGTTTCCAACCCCCAATGACAAATAAAGATTATATATATAAAGTTACTGACAATAAAAGGCAATAATAATGAAAACATTTAAAAAAAAAAAAGTGAGGTATTTGAGTTAGGTCATAAACAACTTACCACAGAGTTGACAATGTAACCCATTGTAAATTGGGGACTATCTGTACTCTTTAGGAATATTTTACTATCTTTTAATTATTCACTGTAATTTATAGAGGTAAAGTGTATTTTAAATGGCAAATCTACTCTTTTGAGCTAGCAGGCTTTATTTTAAAAAATTAGTTTACTTAAGGTCATTGATTTGATGTAATGCATGCATTTCTAGGAAACTTGTTTTTATTTTTGTTTCTTATTCACAGGGTTTATTTCATTATGAGCTCCTTTTCCTCTCATGTTTCCAGGCCTGAAAACGATTGTAGGGGCCCTGATCCAGTCGGTGAAGAAGCTCTCTGATGTCATGATCCTGACTGTATTCTGTCTCAGTGTGTTTGCTCTTATTGGGCTGCAGCTCTTCATGGGTAACCTGCGACATAAATGTGTGCGACATCCACTAGAAGATAATTTAACTTTGGAAAACCTACTGGATACCTTGGAAAGTGAAGAAGACTATAGAAGTAAGATTGCCCCTGCAATTGTCAATAGGTTGAATAAGGCTAAAAGCACTGCTCTCTTTTAAAGTGGCATGTTAGTTTTATTTTAAATATTTTAAAATTATTCAAATATAGATACTGGTAACAATGTAAATTTGAATAATGTTATATATGATTCTAAGCCTTTTGACAATTCCAGTAATGAAAAATAGAATCATTCCGTAATTCCCAAATTCTGTAAAAAAAAAAAAATCAAATTATTCTAAAGAAATAAATGTAGCTATGAATTAATAATACTATCAATCAGTACATTCAGTCATATTCTATACATAATAATATTACATATCAGTATTGCACTTTACATACTGTTGTTATGGAGCCCTATTGGCACAGTTGTTAAGCACTCACCAGCTAATCCAGCTATTTCCAGCTCACCAGTGGCTCCACAGGATAAAAGACTGAGTGATCTGCTCCTGTAAAGACTACAGCCTAGAAAACCCTATGAGGCAGTTCATTTTATCATATAGGGTCACTATGAGTTGGAATCAACTCAACAGTACACAACAACCAAACGTTGTTATATATGTCATCTGAGATGCAACTGTGGATCTCCTCTCATCCAAATAAAAGAAGAGTGAAGAAAAAGGCATCTGGAAACAATTAGTCCAATGATAAGGTGGACCACAAAGATCTCAGCCTACATGACCCTGAGACCAGAAGAACTGGATAGTACCTGGTTACCAATGCCAACCACTCGGAAAGGAATCAAAACTAGAGATACTGGATAGAGTGGGAGGAAAAATGTGGAACAAAATTCAAAAACAAAAATGACCAGAATTACTGGCCAGATAGAGACTGGTGGAACCCCAAGACTATGGCCCTGGGTTGGTACCCTTTGGGCCTAGAAGTGGACTCACTCCCATGGAATGGCTTTCAGCCCAAGAGTAGAAAGACTTATATGCAGAACACCTACCTCAGGGCGATGCACACACCTACTCTAGGGAGATGCACCCTTTAGGCAATCAGTCATGAGACACCAGAGGGGCAGCATTCACATATAGAGAAAGCTGGACAGACAATAATGCATAGTTAAGAAGGGCACAAAGAGGGACGGGAGGGGAGGAGAGTTTGTTATGGTCGGGAATGATAATCAGGGTGTGAGGTAAAATGTGCAGGAACTCTTGAATGTAAAACAACATTACTTTGTAAATTTGCACCCAAAGCACAATACATTTTTTTTAAAATTGTTATATTACATAATATATGTATATTTATCATGTAATATATATTTATTATATGATAAACCACAAAAATCAAACTCACTGCTGTCAAGTCGATTCTGATGC